AGCTGGACACCAAGCAAGGGTGGTAAGTGGCAGAGTGGCGATAGCACAGCGTCTGTGCGGCTCTGCTCTTGCCCTACCCCATCCCTGCTCCTGTGAGGTAGCAGCGCAGGGTGGTGGTACTCAATCCCTGCCCACCCCCACACACTCCCTGGGACCTTTCAAAGTACCCCCAGGGGTATGCGTACCCCCAGTTGACAAACCCTGCTGTAGTGTGTTTCTGTCTTTTTTATAAGAGGCATACTATACATTATGGAGAAGAGACATCCAAAAGAGGCCTACCGTTAGTAGTGTTCCACACTTTCCAGCCTGCGTTGGAGTCACCACTGACACCAAACTTCTATTGTTATGTTCCTCAAAGCCAGCACACTTGTCATCTTTCAAGTACATGATTATTTCTTGGAATCCAGCGTTTTCCAGTTGGCACTTACTAAGTGACACCTTGATTTGACTTGTACCACAATCTAGCTCAGGTTGCAAACTTCTGATATCTTAAAACACATTAAAAGGATTAGATGTTGCTTGGTATTATCAAGGAAAACTCTTGCTTTGCATATCAGTGATTACCTTGTAATCCATGATTAGTATCGAGGGAGTGAATTGGATCTGTGTTGGTCCCTCACTCTTATACTCTGTAGGGTTTGCTCTGTCATTTCCACCTTATTGATAACTTTAGTGAGTTTTTTTAATAACAAACTGAAATGTTTTGTCGAAGACTGAGTGCAGTAGAATGGGAAGTAAACTGAGTATCTGTGGGTGTGTCTACACATGCATATTAATGTGATGCAATAAACTCTGGTGCTTATCACACTGGAGTTTATTGCTCCTGGGCATGCATTTACATTTGGACCCAGGAGTACAGCAGGTTGAGTCGGCAGCTCCAGTTGGCAGGGGGCCTGGGGGATCAGCCTGCCAGCCCAGGACTGCTCCCCCCCCAGCTCAACATGCTGCAGAGGGGCTGGCTGGAGCACGAGGGCACTTCAGCAGGGGGCTAGCCAGCAGGCATCCTCCACATTGAAACACCTCATGCCCCAACCAGCTGGGGCAGCATCTACACATGCGCTGTT